CTATAATTTTAGTAATAAACTTTATTTTATTGACACCTAGAATCTTCTTGAAATGAACTTTAGACCCTCATCTGGGTTCTCCTTTTGTGTCTCTGCTTTATTTAATAATGTTATTTACTTGACAAATTACTCATTCTTGCCTTAGCATCTTGAAGCAGAATCAGTTTTATTGTTGAATTCAGATTTTCATTTGGTTGGAATTACTTATTTACAATATTATTTACTGGGATTTAATTCACAATAATTTAAGTTCTTTTAAAATTTTTACTTTGTATTCTAGGGAAATAAATTATCTATTATATTTTATAAAACTTGTTGGGTTTTTTTTTTTGCTCTTTTCTGTCAGTTAGTTTAGGACAATACATCCAAGTATTAATAACAACTATCTCAAGAGAGACTAAAGTCTTCGAATGTTCAGGTTACATGTAGGTAGGTAGAGTGGATAGAAGGAAACAGTTTGTATGATTTTTGCTTATGCCTTCAGTGATTTTGACTTTTGGTTATTTTTATTGAATTAGTATTATTCATTTTGATTGTTATCCCTTTCCAGGTTCTAAAGGAAGTGTTCAAAAGAAATGTATGCATTTGACTTTGTCAACATCTGAACAAATTTAAACACACACACAAAAGTTACACAAATTTAAACACACTAAAGTCTAAAACAGCAAATCATAAATTACTGCAATATGATTATAAATTCTTTCAATATTCAACATTAGCTTTTACTTTTTAGCAGCTAATAACAAATTGAAATAAGACACTTTATGAAAATCTACCCAAACTGCCAATGTCTTGAACACAAAGACTGGTGACATGATCAGGAAAAACTTGTTTACAATGTCATGAGTGGTGTTCTACAATTACCGCATACAGACAATTTTTGCTTCCAATAAAACTGAATCACCATTTAAAAATATAATTTAAATCACAAATCAAAATGTTAAAAGCAGTCTCATATATAATAACACAGATCAGAATGTTAAAAGTGGTCTCATATATACATGTAATAACACAAATCAGTACAATGTTTATATGGGGTTATAACAAGTTTCCCATGATCACATGACCAGTACAGGTCTATTGTTACAAGACTGGTATTTCAGTTAGGGATTTAACTAGCAGACAAGTAGTAACACTGAATGCCAATAACTCTATTTTCTGTTGTAGATTTATGTCTGAAATTAGTTCAAATATAAACTAGGTCAACTACATACACTTTTTGTTAATATGTTCCTGTGAACCTGCTAAGGAAAATTTCAACTAAAATGAACAAAAATTCAGTAAAAATAAACTTCAAGCAGAATTATTCAATGAGATTAATTTATTTCAAGGAGCTTTATTGTTGACCTCATTCAAAGAAATATTTTGGTTACTTGATTAGGAAATGCTTAATTATGCATATCATTTAGTTTGATGGCAGATCTGTCTCTTTGCAGCTTGATTTTTTTTTTAACCCAGACAGTACACATCCTACAGTGTAAGACACCCACCCTTATATTTGTGTTTTATAGATCCCTGTCTTACAGCTGAAATAACAGCATGGTGTAGCATGTTCTGAGGTCGACTAACTTTGGAATAAAAAGTCAAATGTTTAGGAATATCTCACACACTTGGCAGCCAATATGGATCCTTTTCTACAAACACAAGTCATATAGCTCAAGTTGAACTTTACTTACTCTCAGATGTCTTTTTTTTAATAATAAATTAAAATTCTGACAGAAGCAAGCAAAGGGAGTTTAAAAGTTATGTTTACCTTTAATTCAGTTGGCTGGAATGCATTGGAAACATAGAATTATGAAATCGGATAAAACTGAAGTATGTTTCTTTAATCAAACCAAAATAGATATAATATTAAATAAAGTGTTCTGACACTTTTGTTTCATTCAATATAATTATCCTTTCAACCCATTTAGTATTTCCCGGTTTCTATCGTATTCCAGCCAAATGAATTCTTGACAGCTAATTAAAATAAGTCCACCTAAAATAATGAAATAATACATACAATTTGTGGAAATACAGAACAAAACTACAAGCGACAACAAAGTGAATTTTACTTAGTTTGCACGTGAAAAAGATGGAAGCAAGTAACATTTTGAAGAAATCTGAAATAGACAAATACTTGAACATAAAAAGGATAACTGCTAGAAAAGGATCGTTCCTAGAATGCCATTATCCAGAGGGACTCAATTTGTGGATATGTCGAAAATCCCAAAAGAAAATCTTCCAACAATAACGAAGGTAATGGCAGCAATTTAAGTTCAGTATCCCAAAGCCATGGAGAAGATTTAATCCAAAAACTGAGCAGGACAAGAAGGATATATTATAAGACCCAGAGGTAAAAGAGCAATATTACCTAATGGCGAAATAATTATTAAAAACCTTCAGACTACAGTAAAAAAAACCTAATCCAATTTTAAAGAGAATCAAAAGACAAACAGGGAACTTACATCATAATGATATCCCACTTGAAATACCAATAGACGTGGTAAAAAAAAAAGATTTGGGGAGAAAATTTAAATACCAGTAATAAATGTTACACTAGACAAAATTCCAGGTACATCCATTTATAATGGGAATATTGTGTTTGAAATTGAAAAAGCAAAATTGAAAGAAGTGAAGAAAGCCTTTTATCTCCTTGGGTTTCTTGTTAGAACTTGGTATAAAGGTTGCATTTGTCATAGAAAATGCAATAAATGTGGGCAAACCGGCCACACTCTAAACAAATATGCCATGAGAATGAAACAGAACAACAACAACAATTGCCTATGCAGCAACAACAAGAACAAGGACAAATCGAAACTGACCAATTATAGCAAGGTGCCAAAGACTCTTATTTAAAACAAAATCACAGCAACAACCACAAACAAAGCAAGAACAACGAAAGCCAAAACAACACTAACAGAGCCAGCAACAACAACAGCCAGCCAAACTAAAAGAACAAAACTTGCAAAAGTCTAATTGGGATAAACAACAGCCACCAAAACAACAACAGAATCCAACAAACCAGTCTAAAGTTGATATAATGCCAACAGTAGAGACAATGATAGATGAAACCAACATGGGGAGAAAAGAGAAGAAAAGGGAAAAAAGAAAAACAAAAAAAAAAGAAGACCAAACAAGAGAAACATGATGAACCAAACAGAGTGTTATTATACAATGATGAAACAATTGACCCTGAACCATGGATTCCAAGTGAAGACGAACATTTAGAACTACTACAAAATGAACCTATTGAACTGTGGGTTCCAAGTGATGATAAACCAACCAAAAAAGGTGCTTTAATTTTAAAACATTCCTTAAAAATAAAGAAATATGAATATAGCATAAACACTACATAAGGCAGGAGGGCCTCCCTAAATGGTCTGCGAAGATCAACCTGGGAGAGCACCCTCACAAAAAAAAAATAAATAAAATAATATGACCTGAGATTGTAAACAAAAAAAAAATTGCTTTAATATGGAATGCAAAGTGTGTGAGATAGTCCTGAAAATGTTAGTTGTCAACATTTTACAGATGTAAACCAGATAAGCTTGTGATTCATTTTCTTGTCTAATGTAATGGTTTCTATTTTCTGTATGACCTGCATTGAATCTGCACTAATGATTTCTCCATTGAAAATTCGTCCAAGTTCTAAAGCCAGCTTTGATTTGCCAGTTCCAGTACAACCTAAAACGACCACCACGGGAATACGACAGGGCGCAGCCATTTTAAGATCTGGTTCAAAAGGCGCTTTAAAAATAGTTACGATGAAGAACAAAGCTTCTTTCCACCGTTTCAAATTGCGCCGAACTTGAGCTCAACAATGCTTGAATTATTCCCCTTCAAATGCTAAATGCTTCAATAATCAGTCTGGCATATCAGGTTGACATGGATCCAAGCGGTTTTAACCGTTAAGGATATCATACTGCATATTTTGTTCCTTTATTCAAATATAATTCACAGTGTGAATTCATCCATCATTCTGTCTTTCTTCTAATTTATTTTCTGCATTTTTCGTAAAAGAAATATAATATTCTTCCATTTTCCAATAAAATATAGTTCTAAAAGGAACAAAATCTTCCCGATATGTACAAAATACCCACCTCAATAGTCTTGTTCACAACAAAGGAAAAAGATAGGTTCAAAAGATCTAAATTTAATACGGAGGTTACTTCTTAAAACGGAATAATTTAACCAGTTCATAATTTTAAAACAAGGCATTGTATTTTCTGTAGTTTTGAGTTTTAGGCCTACGCCCAGTTTTAAACACTAAACGTAGTTCAGAAGCAAATGCAATTTTCGCGGCAATATTTCCATTTATATATGTTGCGAGCTCGCGACTAGTTCGTTCTATTATATTTATATTTTTGGTTATTGAACCCTTATTTGTTTTCGCGGCAAAGAATACTTTTTTTACTTTAATTTTTTTTTTGGGGGGTAGGGGAGTCTGGTGTGCAATAATAAAAATTTTCCCTCCTATATTTCGCAATGGGTGACTAATGGTGACATCAACTGTGTTGAAACAGTATTTGACACTCCAAACTCAGGACCGAAACTCGAATCCTACCACCGTATTAGCCCAGTAGGAGTGTCCTTAGGTAAGGCAGTATATAACTTGCTTTGTTGTGCGTTAAAACACCAAACAAAATAAAACTTTTTCTTTCTCTGATTGTCACGCAGATGGTTAATTTTGAAAATACCAACTAAACTCACAGAGTACATGCAAGTTAGCATTAATAGCACAATGTTCCTCCCCTCCACCAATAAAGTGTGTGTGCGTGCTTGCGTGTGTGTTAGATTTGTAACGTAGCTTTAACAATTTTTTCAGTCATATCACTACGATGTTTAAAGTGCGGCAGTTTATATCGATGTCTAGCACTGGGGCGTCATGCCGTAGACATGTAGCATGATGTCCCACCCAGTCACATTACCCTGACACCAGGCCGACCACTCCTAACACTAACCTCTTAATGCTGAGCGCCATGTGAGGAAGCTTTTATTACCATTTTGTAGTTTGTGACATGACTAGGCCGTCGATTGAACCCACTACCTCCCGCATCCGAGGCGGGCGCTCTAACCACTAGGCCACCGAAATAATGAGTGATATGAGATCATAATAAAGTTTACCAACTCCTCAAATGCTTTGTCATTTTTATTTTTCTGAAAAAAAATAGAGCTGAACGAGTACCATGAAAATGGACAAGAAATAACAAAGTTCTAGCTGAAATACCATATGTACTTTTATAATCCAAGTGCAGGTCTGCCATCGTATAATGTGCAGGTAGATCTGGGTCCAAGAATTTAGTGGGGAGTAACTCTGGTATGCCCTCAGGTCACGTGTATCTTGCTTGCAGTTAAAGTCTACTTATATCTTAGTATAGTAGTGAATTATTCTAAGGTCCCAAATCGTTTATATAAAGTATCTCGTTATATGTTTACTGCAGAATTAAACTAAGGTGTTACTGGTTGAGTGTAATTAAAATAATACCACTGGCATTTTCAATGCACTATTGAAACGAAGCCGGAGGAATGACGTGTTTTTGCCTGTGGCAAATTGGAACGGCATAAGTACTGAGAGAACAGTGGAACATAAGGATTAAATAAAGACTTCTAAGTTTTGTACAACTCAACGATCTCCTGCCGAGCAAAAGTTTCCTATTTATAGACAGAGATATGAAACTTGGTGCACCACAAAAGCATGTCAAAAGCAAAACTTGAATTCTAGATGTATTCTTTACTAGATATGATTAGGAGTTGTAATTCAGATCTAGATTGGTGCACTGGACACAATCATTCAATATAATATCTCAAAAGTTAAAAACATAGACATTGAAATAAAATAAAAAAAATAAAACAAGAATGTCAAGGATTTCCGCTTTAAGGAGATGACATAGATAAGATTTATCACAGCCATCCCAGTTTAACCACACGAGTAGTATTTTATGACCAATCGCTGGATGGCAATATAATTGCATGAATAATTAATTATTCGCATACCGCTGCGAAGAGCTGGAATGGTTTCGTTGCGCAATGTGTATGTCTGTCGCATCTTGTCATCTATTCCAATACTGTTTGGAGCATTTTGATAGAATTTTGTACGCTGGATACCAGGTTCGTGTAGGTGTACAATAAGGTTTACTTTAACTTTTTTTTAACTTTTTTGGAGAAGTGTAATTAACCATAGTCGTCAAAAAGTGGAAGTGGATTTTCAAAATTCAACACGTCATCGCATTTTAAAAAAAAAAAACAAAAACGGACAGGGGATTTAGCGAAAATTTAAAGACTAAATATGTGGTTTTAACGTACATTCCTCCGGCCCATTTTGTGAGAAAATTGTAAAAACAGGGTGTGTTATTTGAAATTTAGTTTGTGATCACTTTTCCTCCAACGTAGATTTAAAGATTGAATGAAAACTTTGTACACTGCTAATGTTTGTGTAAATGTTGTGTATGGAACCTTAGTAGACTGCTGGATTTATGGTTGTATATGTTCTTACGAATTTGGTCGGTGAAAAATGTGTTATGTATGAAAACTTGGTAGATTGTTAGAATTAGGTTGGCATATAAATGTGTATGAAAACATGAAAGATTATTAGAATTAGGTTGGTATTTAAATGTATATGAAAACTTGGTAGATTGTTAGAATTAGGTTTGTATATAAATATGAATGAAAACTTGGTAAAATGTTAGAATTTGGTTGGTATATAAATGTGTATGAAAACTTGGTAGATTGTTAGAATTTGGTGTAAATGTGCAATAAAGTTTATCGTTTTCCTCTGATCCAATTTTAAGAATATTTCTAAACAAAATATGAAAATGGGTGGACAAGTAAAAAAAAAATGGCTCCTTAAAAGCCTTCTAAACAAGTTTTAGGATTTTACTTAAATCTCTTTTGACCAGCCATATGGTTGGAATAAGATTTTACTGAATTCCTTTTGACCAGGTTGGTATGGGTAACCAATAGTTTTCCTTTTGGAGTTAGACTCATTTTTAGGAGACATTTATTGAAAAGGTGCCAAACAATTGGCATTTTTGAGAAGTGATTTACTTTATGGCTATCAAACAGAGGAATGTATTGATGTACAGTAGGCTAGATCCAGAGAATGATATGGAAATAGGGGTAGGGGTGCATATACATGTTAAGGTCTTTGTAATGTGGCCAAGCCCTGGAACCACTGCATTGTACGCGTTTCCGGGGCATATTTTGAACGATCCAACTAAACTGAAAATATACTCTATGCAACGTTTCGAAAGGGCGCCAGCTTCGCTACCCTCCACCCCCAACGGTTGGTGTACATGTACAATATTTCACTGTTCTCGGTGTAGATGTCCCAATTTAAAAAAAAATATTTAATGGACAAGATTTTATAAACACTTTGCATTTTAGATATGTGGATGGTATAAATGTGCAACAAGACGCTACTTTAGCCTCTACCCTATATTTGTAAATTTTTAATATAAATGTTCAAACGTGGAGAGGCCAGTAATTAAGAGAATACAGCTCAGCTAGTTTGTTTTTTTTTTAAACTATATAGTTCGTGCAAATGCGCAATAATTGTTTTTCCCTTTGGCCAATAATGGGTTACATTTTTCAGAAAATAGTTTGATAGGAATTTTATAAATTAAGTTTATTTAGGAGGCCAATTCGTAAAAATGTTCAATAAAAAGGGTGGTATTTTTGAAGTTCAGTCAAATGGCTCTTCCTCCTCCACGCCGACTGGAAGATCTTTAAAAAAAAAAAAAAAAAAAAAAAAAAATTTAGACAAGTGACTGATGTAGTTGACTAACTCGTATCTGTAGGCCATTTTTTTCCCAAAAACTGTTAAAAATGGGAAATCAGAAAAACTAAGCTCGTTAATTTAGTATTTAAGCCGCACATTAACATGTGTGCATGAAACATTTAACTTTTTCACTGGTCTCGAAACGGAATACATTTTGTTTACCAGATAATTCAAACATGTTCGGAGGAACATGCCTGGACCTTAGGAGTATGCATGCTCGTAACTGCATGTACATTGGAATCGACATTTGTTTAAACATGTCAAGCAATGTGTTTTTTTTTTCTAGGGTATCAACCATTTACTTTTTTCCCTCACTTGTGACTGGAGGGATGCGGAAGTTTTAATGGCGGCGACAATGTAACCACAGTTAATATTTAGTAGAGCATTTAAAAAGTCGCAGCTTATGCCCTGTTTTTTGACCAAAGTTCCGACAAGTTAACCTAGATAGGCCAACCTATCGATACCTCGGCTTACGAAAACGGTCATAAGTGTATGCTCTACTACGACTCTCGACGCGTTAGCTGTAAGCTACGTTGGTTCAAGTTAGAGGCGAGAAATTGTTTTGCGAATCCCGTGTTTACTTCGTCCAGTTATGGTGAAAATACAGCTTCTAAATACAGTAGGCTCTTTTTAGAGCGCTTTCATCACTATATCCATTCACAAAATAATTCAAGCGATACTGAAAAATACGTTGCCGTCTTTTTATTTTATTTCCGTGTGAATAGCTAGAAAGTAATAAACAAACCGGCTTCCTTCTAGTTATTTTCTGAGATGGGATATAAATAGTCCTACATAGCTTTCCTGGAAAAGGCTTCGTTCATACATGTTCAGAAAACTGCACGCGCGAAATTGTAAGGTGTTTTTCTTCTTACCTGTAAATGGTCGATTTTTTTTAGTAGGTCATGCGATCACGACCAACATGCTGCACGACTGCAAATCCAAATTAGAATAACTCTCAACAAGTGACCAAGTTCACACATTTTTATTACAGTTACAAACGTAAATGTACTTGACCGGTTCTGAAATGTGAACCACCGTTCAAGTAACTGGAGTTTGTCATCAAATATGGAATTCAAGGTCACCTACGAGTCTTTTGTTGGTTAACCACGGAGAATGTAAGGAAACACACCCATACATGGGGGAATTAGGATATGTTGCGTTTGATGAATGGGCGACACACCAGCGAGTTTGCTACGCACAATTCATTGTCCCGTAACTATACGAATTGTATAAAGGATATATAATTCCCCAAGGCTATTTATAATTACCCAAAGGATATTTAATTACCGAACACTATCCCCGATAAATACTTCACATATTACGTAACAATCGTTATTAAAAGCGGAGGTCTTTCAAATTTGAATTTCGGAGAACGAACGTTTATCACCGTTTAACACGCGTTATTATACCAGAGCATGGTCGACCGTGTTATATTCTAGTGAAAAGCTTTTTGTTTCACAACTAAAGTCACAATATGTACATTATCGATCAGTTTTGACGATGTGGGTAGTAACGAATTACATCACGAGTGGCTCCCAGTCGATGTCGTCCCCATTAACTTTATAACGTCAGTTTGGCCTTAAGATCGTAATTGTTTACTGCATTATATATTATCGAGCTCTTATAACCATACTCAAAACCTCAATCTTCATCAAGGTCATGTTAAGTTGCGATTCGGTTTTCAAGCTGTACGGAATTTTTGAAATAAATATGACGACATTATAAGCAGATATATAAAAGCGTCTTGCAACAATAAATTCGTAATCCGAATCCAGTAATAAACGTCACCTTTGAAAACCTTTAGGTGCGTGCTACGACTAATACCTTCGCTGCAACTAGTATTTCCTTTGTTGTGACAAATAGTTTTCCTTTTTTTCAAAAAAAGTTTATTTTTAGGAAGAACTTTGAATTGGCTAGTTCAATCATCCACGAATCTATTAATTACGCACATGCATTTCTGAACGAACTAGAATGCAGCAATTTCAAATAAGCCGACAGCGACATCAACTGGGAAGTGAAAATGCTGCACTGGGCAGCGATGATACGCCCCCACACTCATGAATGTAATTTTACTTCAAGTACTGATTGGCCCCCATGACTCACGACCTCTTTCCCGCCAAAACGTCAGGTCACACAAATGTCGTTCTTTGTGTTCTATTTTAAGTAGTTTGTTGCTATCGGGTAGTTAATGGGCATATCTAGTGTAAGAAAGACTAACAAGTATTCAAAACAAACAAGAGCAGATATGAACTTCAAATAGTACTGTTTAATTTATACATGTATATTATTAGAATATTTGAGTTTTGATAAATGTGAA